GGAGATAGACAGGAGTGACATTGGCACATGATCGTTTTGACGTGGAGTTTTAATGAACACGTGTATCTGCTGCATATGTTGACACATTATCCTCGGACAGGGTGGACACAGGACTCGTACACGGCTTGTGATGCTTTAACAGTTTATTGCATATGTCAATGATAAAGACGGATCACAGAAAGCCTTGATGTTGTAATACAGTGAGTGTGGACAGGCACACTTCTTGACGGAAGATGACGGTGTAAGTGTCGTGTGCGTGTCGGACGCAGTTCAGGACGGAATTCTAGATGACGGTGTAAGTGTTGTGTGTGTGTCGGACACAGTTCAGGGCGAAATTCTAGATGACGGTGTAAGTGACGTGTGTGTGTCGGACACAGTTCAGGGCGGAATTCTAGATGAAGGTGTAAGTGTCATGTGTGTGTCGGACATAGTTCAGGACGGAATTCTGGATGACGGTGTAAGTGTCGTGTGTGTGTCGGACACAGTTCAGGGCGGAATTCTAGATGACGGTGTAAGTGTTGTGTGCGTGTCGGACACAGTTCAGGACGGAATTCTAGATGACGGTGTAAGTGTCGTGTGTGTGTCGGACATAGTTCAGGACGGAATTCTGGATGACGGTGTAAGTGTCGTGTGCGTGTCGGACACAGTTCAGGACGGAATTCTAGATGACGGTGTAAGTGTCGTGTGTGTGTCGGACACAGTTCAGGACGGAATTCTGGATGACGGTGTAAGTGTCGTGTGTGTGTCGGACACAGTTCAGGACGGAATTCTGGATGACGGTGTAAGTGTCGTGTGCGTGTCGGACACAGTTCAGGACGGAATTCTAGATGACGGTGTAAGTGTCGTGTGTATGTCGGACACATTTGTTAAATTTTAGATGACAGTGGAAGTGTTGTGTGTGTGTCGGAGACAGTTGAGAACGGAGTTCTAGATGACGGTGTAAGTGTCATGTGTGTGTCGGACGCAGTTGAGAACAGAATTCTAGATGACGGTGTAAGTGTCGTGTGCGTGTCGGACTCAGTTGAGAATGGAATTCTAGATGACGGTGTAAGTGACGTGTGTGTGTCGGACACAGTTCAGGGCGGAATTCTAGATGACGGTGTAAGTGTCATGCGTGTGTCGGACATAGTTCAGGACGGAATTCTGGATGACGGTGTAAGTGTCGTGTGTGTGTCGGACACAGTTCAGGGCGGAATTCTAGATGACGGTGTAAGTGTTGTGTGCGTGTCGGACACAGTTCAGGACGGAATTCTAGATGACGGTGTAAGTGTCATGTGTGTGTCGGACACAGTTCAGGACGGAATTCTGGATGACGGTGTAAGTGTCGTGTGTGTGTCGGACACAGTTCAGGACGGAATTCTGGATGACGGTGTAAGTGTCGTGTGCGTGTCGGACACAGTTCAGGACGGAATTCTAGATGACGGTGTAAGTGTCGTGTGTATGTCGGACACATTTGTTAAATTTTAGATGACGGTGGAAGTGTTGTGTGTGTGTCGGAGACAGTTGAGAACGGAGTTCTAGATGACGGTGTAAGTGTCGTGTGCGTGTCGGACTCAGTTGAGAATGGAATTCTAGATGACGGTGTAAGTGTCTTGTGTGTGTCGGACGCAGTTGAGAACGGAATTCTAGATGACGGTGCAAGTGTTGTGTGCGTGTCGGACACAGTTGAAAACGGAATTCTAGATGACGGTGTAAGTGTTGTGTGTGTGTCGGACACAGTTGAGAACGGAATTCTAGATGACGGTGTAAGTGTCTTGTGTGTGTCGGACACAGTTGAGAACGGAATTCTAGATGACGGTGTAAGTGTTGTGTGTGTGTCGGACACAGTTGAGAACGGAATTCTAGATGACGATGTAAGTGTCGTGTGTGTGTCGGACGCAGTTAAGAATGGAATTCTAGATGACAGTGTAAGTGTCGTGTGTGTGTCGGACGCAGTTGAGAACGGAGTCTAGATGACGGTGTAAGTGTCGTGTGTGTGTCGGACGCAGTTGAGAACGGAATTCTAGATGACGGTGTAAGTGTCATGTGTGTGTGGGACGCAGTTGAGAACGGAATTCTAGATGACGATGTAAGTGTCTTGTGTGTGTCGGACACACTTGAGAACGCAATTCTAGATGACGGTGTAAGTGTCGTGTGTGTGTCGGACACACTTCAGGACGGAAGATGATGGTGTAAGTGTCGTGTGTGTGTCGGACGCAGTTGAGAACGGAATTCTAGATGATGGTGTAAGTCTTGTGTGTGTGTTAGACACAGTTGAGAACGGAATTCTAGATGATGGTGTAAGTGTCTTGTGTGTGTCGGACGCAGTTGAGAATGGAATTCTAGATGACGGTGTAAGTGTTGTGTGTGTGTCGGACGCAGTTGAGAACGGAATTCTAGATGACGATGTAAGTGTCGTGTGTGTGTCGGATGCATTTAAGAACTGAATTCTAGATGACGGTGTAAGTGTTGTGTGTGTGTCGGACGCAGTTAAGAACGGAATTCTAGATGACGGTGTAAGTGTCGTGTGCATGTCGGTCACAGTTCAGGACGGAATTTTAGATGACGGTGTAAGTGTCGTGTGTGTGTCGGACGCAGTTGAGAAAGGAATTCTAGATGACGGTGTAAGTGTCGTGTGTGTGTCGGACACAGTTCAGGACGGAATTGTAGATGCGATGTAAGTGTCGTGTGTGTGTCGGACACAGTGGAGAACGGAATTCTAGATGACGGTTTAAGTGTCGTGTGTGTGTCGGACGCAGTTGAGAACGGAATTCTAGATGACGGTGTAAGTGTTGTGTGTGTGTCGGACGCAGTTGAGAACGGAATTCTAGATGACGGTTTAAGTGTCGTGTGTGTGTTGGACGCAGTTGAGAACGGAATTCTAGATGACGGTGTAAGTGTTGTGTGTGTGTCGGACACAGTTAAGAATGGAATTCTAGATGACGGTGTAAGTGTTGTGTGTGTGTCGGACACAGTTCAGGGCGGAAATCTAGACGACGGTGTAAGTGTCATGTGTGTGTCAGACACAGTTTAGGACGGAATTCTAGATGAAGGTATAAGTGTTGTGTGTGTGTGTCGGACACAGTTCAGGGCGGAATTCTAGATGACGGTGTAAGTGTCTTGTGTGTGTGTCGGACACAGTTCAGGGCGGAATTCTAGATGACGGTGTAAGTGTCGTGTGTGTGTCGGACACAGTATAGGACGGAATTCTAGATGACGGTGTAAGTGTTGTGTGTGTGTCGGACATAGTTTAGGACGGAATTTTAGATGACGATGTAAGTGTTGTGTGTGTGTCGGACATAGTTTAGGACGGAATTCTAGATGACGGTGTAAGTGTTGTGTGTGTGTCGGACATAGTTTAGGACGGAATTCTAGATGACGGTGTTAGTGTTGTGTGTGTGTCGGACATAGTTTAGGACGGAATTCTAGATGACGATGTAAGTGTTGTGTGTGTGTCGGACGCAGTTCAGGACGGAATTCTAGATGACGGTGTAAGTGTTGTGTGTGTGTCGGACATAGTTTAGGATGGAATTCTAGATGACGGTGTAAGTGTTGTGTGTGTGTCTGACATAGTTTAGGACGGAATTCTAGATGACGGTGTAAGTGTTGTGTGTGTGTCGGACACAGTTCAGGACGGAATTCTAGATGACGGTGTAAGTGTTGTGTGTGTGTCGGACATAGTTTAGGACGGAATTCTAGATGACGGTGTAAGTGTCTTGTGTGTGTGTCGGACACAGTTCAGGACGGAATTCTAGATGACGGTGTAAGTGTCGTGTGTGTGTCGGACACAGTTCAGGGCGGAATTCTAGATGAAGGTGTAAGTGTCGTGTGTGTGTCGGACACAGTTCAGGGCGGAATTCTAGATGACGATGTAAGTGTTGTGTGTTTGTCGGACGCAGTTGAGGACGGAATTCTAGATGACGATGTAAGTGTTGTGTGTTTGTCGGACACACTTCAGGGCGGGTGTCTTGGTGTATCGGGGATGTAGTCGACGTGTACATGTGTGTATGTTTACACCAATGGTTGTTTTGTCGGAATGAGTCTTCGATTTAAGCGTTGGTGTTTCATCAGGAACGGTAATATAATCTTATGTAATAAACTTTAGACATTCATGTCAATGTTCCAGCTTGTATCAGTGCCCGTCAGTTTATAATACGTATAGACACACCACCGTAATCCTGTAACACTACGACTACACAAAGACAGTATTCATACAGCTGGATAACACGAATATTACGTCTCCGATCCATGCAAATAAAGTTATATTCAAAGGAAATACTGATATATGATATGTTGGTAATATAAATACAGGCAGGATCAGAGAGTAACCCTGACTACACATCTACAATCAATCAATGCCACCAATAGCATTTCACATTAGCAGTCGCCAACACAATGGATTTTGAGTAGCATTAGGTATGTTGCTAATAATTTAGTCCTACAAAAGTTTCGTACAGCGTTCGTCCCTGTTACTCTGTACAGTGTGGTGGCTGTACGCAACATCCTGACTGTCTTTACGCTTAATGTTTGGAATAATTGGCGGGCTCGTTTTGTATGTAAATTGACATAATATACTCCGTGTTATGCAACTGCATGTGCATTCGGAGACACATCCATCCATTTGGATTTAATGCTTTTATAAATAATTGGTGGTATTAATGTGTTAGAGCCACATTTACGAAAGAGTGATACTGAACACACAAAAAAAGGGATCATATATATTTTGGGTGATACTGTTTGTTCCGTAAATGTGTGCTGACCCTAAGTTTTGGCTCAGAATATACTGAAGGGCGTATATCACAAGGTCGTTATTGCGGGACAGGTTAGTGGGAATAACCTAAACAGTTACAAGGCACCTGGACATAGAATATTGCTTCATTCGTCAATATCAACCTGTAATCTCTACTTTATAATGTTGTACACTACATCAATGACGTTAGATAATACCAGGCTTCATACAGGAGGTTGACTGTCTGAACGTGGAGCTACGTCGGTACGGGGTAAATGTATGTATTGAAAGTGCTGACCACCAGGTGTCCTAAACAGGATCCGGTGTCCTAAACAGGATCCGGTGATTCTGTTGACATACAGTCTGTGGAACTATAAGCAAAATATAAATAAGAGTATATGTGTAGCTTGTCACAATGGTGTCAATTATATCATCTTCCAGTCCCGCATGAATAAATGGTGCTGTGATTGGTTCTTCCGAGTGCGTGGGCGTTGTTATGTATGACGTCACGGAGCCGACCAATCAGCGGCTTCCAATCTGTTGTTCCCGGTACTCCCTCTGGCGGGTGCGGATCTGTTCTGACAGGTCCTCCCTTCCGCTCTTGATCAACGCCGTTGACAATATGGCCACCTGTTGAGGGTTACAGTGTGAGTTCGTGATATTGTGTCAAAACGACCGGAGGTAATTGAGTGTTGTTCAAGAAGCTTATGTCTGAATACAGGAACAACTGTTCACGCTACCGTGACACTGTCACGTAATCAGTCACGTCCTACACAGGGGTCAAGGTTCAAGGTCCACGTTATTGTGACACTGTCATGCAATCAGTCACGTCCTACACACGGATCAAGGTCTACGTTATTGTGACACTGTCACGTAGTCAGTCACGTCCTACACACGGATCAAGGTCCACGTTATTGTGACACTGTCACGTAATCAGTCACGTCCTACACAGGGGTCAAGGTTCAAGGTCTACGTTATTGTGACACTGTCATGCAATCAGTCACGTCATACACACGGATCAAGGTCTACGTTACCGTGACACTGTCATGCAACCAGTCACGCCCTACACACGGATCAAGGTCCACGTTATTGTGACACTGTCATGCAATCAGTCACGTCATACACACGGACCAAGGTCCACGTTATTGTGACACTGTCATGCAATCAGTCACGTCATACACACGGATCAAGGTCCACGTTACCGTGACACTGTCATGCAACCAGTCACGTCCTATACACGGATCGAGGTCCACGTTATTGTGACACTGTCACGTAATCAGTCACGTCCTACACACGGATCAAGGTCCACGTTATTGTGACACTGTCATGCAATCAGTCACGTCATACACACGGATCAAGGTCCACGTTATTGTGACACTGTCACGTAATCGGTCACGTCCTACACAGGGGTCAAGGTTCAAGGTCCACGTTATTGTGACACTGTCACGTAATCGGTCACGTCCTACACAGGGGTCAAGGTTCAAGGTCCACGTTATTGTGACACTGTCATGCAATCAGTCACGTCATACACACGGATCAAGGTCTACGTTACCGTGACACTGTCATGCAATCAGTCACGCCCTACACACGGATCAAGGTCCACGTTATTGTGACACTGTCATGCAATCAGTCACGTCATACACACGGACCAAGGTCCACGTTATTGTGACACTGTCATGCAATCAGTCACGTCATACACACGGATCAAGGTCCACGTTACCGTGACACTGTCATGCAACCAGTCACGTCCTATACACGGATCAAGGTCCACGTTATTGTGACACTGTCACGTAATCAGTCACGTCATACACACGGATCAAGGTCCACGTTATTGTGACACTGTCATGCAATCAGTCACGTCATACACACGGATCAAGGTCCACGTTATTGTGACACTGTCATGCAATCAGTCACGCCCTACACACGGATCAAGGTCCACGTTATTGTGACACTGTCATACAAGCAGTCACGTCATACACACGGATAAAGGTCCACGTTACCGTGACACTGTCATGCGATCAGTCACGTCATACACACGGATCAAGGTCCACGTTATTGTGACACTGTCATGCGATCAGTCACGTCATACACACGGACCAACGTCCACGTTATTGTGACACTGTCATGCAATCAGTCACGTCATACACACGGATCAAGGTCCACGTTATTGTGACACTGTCATGCAATCAGTCACGTCACACAGCCGGACCAAGGTCCACGTTACCGTGACACTGTCATGCAATCAGTCACGTCATACACACGGATCAAGGTCCACGTTATTGTGACACTGTCATGCGATCAGTCACGCCCTACACACGGATCAAGGTCTACGTTATTGTAACACTGTCATGCAATCAGTCACGTTATACACACGGACCAAGGTCTACGTTACCGTGACACTGTCATGCAATCTGTCACGTCATACACACGGATCAAGGTCTACGTTACCGTGACACTGTCATGCAATCAGTCACGTCATACACACGGATCAAGGTCTAGGTTATTGTGACACTGTCACGTAGTCAGTCACGTCACACAGCCGGACCAAGGTCCACGTTACCGTGACACTGTCATGCAATCAGTCACGTCATACACACGGACCAAGGTCTACGTTACCGTGACACTGTCATGCAATCAGTCACGTCATACACACGGATCAAGGTCCACGTTACCGTGACACTGTCATGCAATCAGTCACGTCATACACACGGGACAAGGTCTACGTTATTGTGACACTGTCATGCGATCAGTCACGTCATACAGCCGGACCAAGGTCCACGTTATTGTGACACTGTCGGGCAATCAGTCACGTCACACAGCCGGATCAAGGTCTACGTTATTGTGACACTGTCATGCGATCAGTCACGTCACACAGCCGGACCAAGGTCCACGTTATTGTGACACTGTAATGCAATCAGTCACGTCATACAGCCGCACCAAGGTCTAGGTTATTTTGACACTGTCATGCAATCAGTCACGTCATACACACGGACCAAGGTCCACGTTATTATGACACTGTCATGCAATCAGTCACGTCATACACACGGATCAAGGTCCACGTTATTGTGACACTGTCATGCAATCAGTCACGTCATACACACGGATCAAGGTCCACGTTATTGTGACACTGTCATGCAATCAGTCACGTCATACACACGGATCAAGGTCTACGTTATTGTAACACTGTCATGCAATCAGTCACGTCATACACACGGATCAAGGTCCACGTTATTGTGACACTGTCATGCAATCAGTCACGTCATACACACGGATCAAGGTCTACGTTACCGTGACACTGTCATGCAATCAGTCACGTCCTACACACGGATCAAGGTCCACGTTACCGTGACACTGTCATGCAATGAGTCACGTCATACACACGGATCAAGGTCTACGTTACCGTGACACTGTCATGCAATCAGTCACGTCGTACAGCCGGACCAAGGTCTAGGTTATTGTGACACTGTCATGCGATCAGTCACGTCACACAGCCGGACCAAGGTCAACGTTACCGTGACACTGTCATGCAATCAGTCACGTCACACAGCCGGACCAAGGTCCACGTTATTGTGACACTGTCATGCAATCAGTCACGTCACACAGCCGGACCAAGGTCCACGTTACCGTGACACTTCCATGCAATCAGTCACGTCACACAGCCGGACCAAGGTCCACGTTATTGTGACACTGTAATGCAATCAGTCACGTCACACAGCCGGACCAAGGTCCACGTTACCGTGACACTGTCATGCAATCAGTCACGTCACACAGCCGGACCAAGGTCTACGTTATTGTGACACTGTCATGCAATCAGTCACGTCACACAGCCGGACCAAGGTCCCCGTTACCGTGACACTTCCATGCAATCAGTCACGTCACACAGCCGGACCAAGGTCCACGTTATTGTGACACTGTCATGCAATCAGTCACGTCACACAGCCGGACCAAGGTCCACGTTACCGTGACACTGTCATGCAATCAGTCACGTCACACAGACGGACCAAGGTCCACGTTATTGTGACACTGTCATGCAATCAGTCACGTCACACAGCCGGACCAAGGTCCACATTACCGTGACACTTCCATGCAATCAGTCACGTCACACAGCCGGACCAAGGTCTACGTTATTGTGACACTGTCATGCAATGAGTCACGTCACACAGCCGGACCAAGGTCCACGTTACCGTGACACTGTCATGCAATCAGTCACGTCATACAGCCGGACCAGGGTCCCCGTTACCGTGACACTGCAATGCAATCAGTCAAGTCACATAGCCGGACCAAGGTCCACGTTACCGTGACACTGTCATGCAATCAGTCACATCACACAGCCGGACCAAGGTCTAGGTTATTGTGACACTGTCATGCGATCAGTCACGTCACACAGCCGGACCAAGGTCTACGTTAATGTGACACTGTCATGCGATCAGTCACGTCACACAGCCGGACCAAGGTCAACGTTACCGTGACACTGTCATGCAATCAGTCACGTCACACAGCCGGACCAAGGTCAACGTTATTGTGACACTGTCATGCAATCAGTCACGTCACACAGCCGGACCAAGGTCAACGTTACCGTGACACTGTCATGCAATCAGTCACGTCACACAGCCGGACCAAGGTCTACGTTACCGTGACACTGCCATGCAATCAGTCACGTCGTACAGCCGGACCAAGGTCTAGGTTATTGTGACACTGTCATGCGATCAGTCACGTCACACAGCCGGACCAAGGTCAACGTTACCGTGACATTGTCATGCAATCAGTCACGTCACACAGCCGGACCAAGGTCTACGTTACCGTGACACTGCCATGCAATCAGTCACGTCACACAGCCGGACCAAGGTCTAGGTTATTGTGACACTGTCATGCGATCAGTCACGTCACACAGCCGGACCAAGGTCTACGTTAATGTGACACTGTCATGCGATCAGTCACGTCACACAGCCGGATCAAGGTCCACGTTACCGTGACACTGTCATGCGATCAGTCACGTCACACAGCCGGACCAAGGTCCACGTTATTGTGACACTGTCATGCAATCAGTCACGTCACACAGCCGGTCCAAGGTCCACGTTACCGTGACACTGTCATGCAATCAGTCACGTCACACAGCCGGACCAAGGTCCACGTTACCCTCACACCACGTTATGCAATCTGTCACGTAATACATTTAAATATTCATACATAGTTTGGCTCTCCTAGAAGTGACACACTATGCTATGTATACACTATTGCCCAAAGCGGTGTTCAACTCAACTCCCCATCGCCTCTAACATCGTTTACTTAATTTATCTCCTGACCACAAATCCGATTTAGCTCACCTTGTCACTCGACTTTGGCGCTCTCTTCAGCCACGTCATCAGCATGTCGAACTTGGCGTCCGCGTCCGACCTCTCCCCGAGCTGCATGTGGCGCAGTATTGCCTGGATCCGCACGCGCTGCACGTTCAGATAGTGCGCCACCTTCCGCCACTCCTCGCCCAACTCTGCCGCCAGGCTGTGCATGTAGTCCTCGTTCACTGGGTCACGTGTGTTGTGGATTGTGATTGGAGCTTTGACTGGCACTGGACACGGCTCAATGTGGTACTGAAACGTTACAGTTGAGTTTAGTTGATGTCATTACCATGGTGTTTTACGGAACTCGTCACGTGTTCGTGCTCCTGTACAAATCAATGGTCACGGAGAAATGTCGGGGGCACGGGTGGCCCAGTCGTCCCAGGCACCGCAATTCGCTGTGCAGAATGTTTTCCCTTTGGCACGTCAGAATCCCATGATAGTGGGTTCAAATCCCGGTTCGACGCGATTATGTTTCTAGGTTTGTCAGCACCACACCCGTGCTCGTGGGTTTCACTTAACTGTCTAAGGCCTTCCTCCTACATTAAGCTGACGCGCTGAGACAAAACTGAAATAGTGTTCTAAGCGGCGCTAAACCCACCTCACTCCCTACTGAGAATTGTCATTTTTTTGTAAGAACTCGTAATATATTGATGAAAGGACAAAAGTGACAATACGAATAAAGTAAAGTGCTTATTTCCTAATACCATTTGATTGTTGAAGTTTGAGTGAGGTGATGTTTCGAGGTAATGTGAGTAACTTAAGTTTCACACCGCTTGAGAAATGATTTACTACTTTAAATAGTATTTAATTTCTATCACGTCAGCTTGATGTGGGAGTAAAGGGCAAAGTGATGTAGTTCAGTGGCTTGTACCGTGGCAAACACGCGTGTATGGTGGTTAGGGAACATGTACATTGGGACTATGGCATTTGAAACACGATCAGCGGATCCAGGCATGGCTAAGGGAGGTAACTGTACAGTGCCACTGACGCTGGTGCCTTATCTTGCTATCTCTTATTAACCAATCTATTTACCAAAAATATTCAAATTAATAACCTGATCTTCGTCTGAGGCATCCAAAAAAAAGCTGTGCAGAGTTACGTCCCTTGGACACGCGAACACCAATGATTGTGGGTTTGTCTCCCGGTAAGGAGAGATGGAATTGGGTTTAACGTCGCGTCCAAGATTATTGCACGTGTGTGTGTTTGTGTGGCTGCTTGTACTAGTCCGGACCGATGCCGATTTATAGTGCTAGCTCACTGAGATACCATGCCACAGTTTAACATGAATACCCCACTAATGGTTCCGAGTCGACCAGTCCTTGTTTTAGCCCCTTAATCCCGAGCGCCAGACAGGGTAACAACAAGTACCATCTTTTAACGTCTTTTGGTATGACGCGGCCTGGGATCGAACCCCGGACCTTCTGCTCTCCGGGCGGACGCTCTACCACTAGACCACGGAGGCGGTCTGTCTCCGGGTAAGCCACAGTAATGTTTCATACCCGTTATTTGTGTTTTTACTTAAGTGGCAAAAGATGTGAAATACTGGAATACTGTTAAAAGGGGCGTGAATGCTATCTCACTCACTCAGTCATCGTGACATTTTGGAGAATTAATGAAAGTATAAATCCTATCGCACATTCCTTTCTTGCACTTCACAATCACTTCACAAAATGTTCACCTTCGGAATGCTTATCAGCAGCTCGCACAGCAGATCCCTCTTCACTTCCGGTCCCTGTTTCGCTTCGTCGTCAGAAACCTTCCGCGTGATGGACCGGACTTCCGCCGGAACAACCGTGTACTTCCGGTACACCTGCACTACGCCCCTATACACGGGGAAGTTCTTCTGAAGGTACTTGTCCACCTCCGTCAGTGTGAACTGCACGTGTGACGACACATTGGAGTTAAACTGGACCTCGAGAGGTCGGTCGTCGCTGGAGGTGATGTTGCCGCGAAATGTGACCTCGACGGTGTCGCCCTCAGAGATGCTGAGGACTTGGCTGGCACTCGGTCCCTCCCCGAACCCCTCGTCGCCCAGCTTGGTCAACAGTTTGTCCACTTTATTGACAGGGGTCACGTGCAGCACGGCGTCAAAGGCGTCCTCTGATCTGCAGGCGAAAATTCATATTTGAATCACACGTAACATTACAAAACATCTGACTTTATACAACAGACGAAATGACGTCTGACCAGGTCTTCTGATCTCTGCATTGCCTGCAATGTGGAAGGTGTGTGACATTCACACTTCAGAAATAGAAGGAAGGGATACAGGATCATAAAGGAACATGATATACGGGAGACATACAACCTCGACCATATTAGCTTGACAAAGATAGATATTAAACCACAAGCCATAAGCTGGAACAGGCGTAGTGTAGCCTAATGGTTAAAGCGTTCGCTGTCACGCCGTAAACATGGGTTCGATTCCCAACATTGGTATTATGTGTGAAACCCATTTTTTTCTTAAACAGCATGATAATACTGAAATATTGTTAAAGCGGCGTAAAACCATACTTTCTCACTCAGTCATAAGCTGGAATGAATACTATACCACTCAGATTAAGTTAAATAACACCCAAATTGCACATTTGACCATAGTTAATCTATCATGCCATAGTAACATGCCCTAGTTCTTTAATATATTTTTGAAGTACATATCGTTTGCAAGAACGTCTGAATTCGGTGTTTATTAAGGGACGCACTAATCGGTATTGAGACGAGGGTCTGGGCGATGGCGGAGGTGCTTAGGCTGGCTAGGAAGTTTGTTCAGAGCCAGGTATTTTTTTACCGGTTTTACTGATTAAAAAAAAGCGTCTAAACTTTTTAGGAAGGATGAGCCTATGTTGTTTACAAGACCCAGGATGTCCAGTTAAAAAAATATTTTGGTGGTAGAGTCTGAGGACAAAACAAAACTGTTTCAAAACAATCCCAGACCCTCCTCCTCCCCATTCACACATCCCCTCCCTCCCAGTCCCCCTCTTGTCGGGGGGTGTTTAAGCGAGATCACGCCAGACAATACCTTTGTTTCATCACGATCTGGACATATCTCTTCCTCCCCATTCACACATCCCCTCCCTCCCAGTCCCCCTCTTGTCGGGCGGTGTTTAAGCGAGATCACGCCAGACAATACCTTTGTTTCATCACGATCTGGACATATCTCTTTGAGAGATAGTCGTGGAGTCCTGTTTCTATGGAAACAGCCATCTCATCCACAATATTGGCTCTGGTCCGGATCACCATGAACCTTTAAACAGGAGAAAATAAATGTCACAAATATTATCCGATATCCATACAATGAGCTCGCGTTGTACTAGTGAGTGAGTGAGTGAGTTGGGTTTAACGCCGCTTTTAACATTATTCCAGTCATATCACGGCGTGTCAGCTTAATGTGGGAGGAAAGCCCGAAGTGTTGCAGGCCTTAGACGTTTACCACTTCGGTGAAACCCACGAGCACGGGCATGGTGCTGACAAACTTAGAAACATAATCGGGGCGAACCGGGATTCGAACCCACAATCATAGGTTTCTGGCGTGCCCAAGGGACGCAACTCTGCACAGCGAATCGCGGCGCCTTAGACGACTTGGCCATCCGTGCCCCCCCCCCCCCCCCCCACCCCACCCACCCCACCCCCCCGCGTTGTTCTAAACCGCGTCTGTTCATGCCGGTTTGTTATGGAGCATACAGTAGAAATGTTCCTCAAGCCCCGACACGTCATCAACGTAATGCTACTCAATGAATATGAGATCATGTACTCTCAGGGGCGGTAGGGTAGCCTTGTAGTTAAAGCGTTCGCTCGTCATCCTGAAACCCGGGTTCGATTCCTGACATGGGTACAATGTGTGAAGCCCATTTCTGGAGTCCCCGCCGTGATATTGCTCGAATATTGCTAAAAGCGGCATAAAACCATACTCACTCAGTGAGTCTGGAGTCTGATCACATATGTTCTTGCTGTTACAACGCCTTTACCACGATCGTTATAACGTCCACTTGGCTACAACGTCCTGCTGCCGGTTCGAACGCCAAGCGATCGGGGGTGAGGCTGGTCTGAGGTGACGCAATTCTTTAATCAAGCAGCAACCGTGCCAGGATCCACTGATGGAGTTCGAATCCCAAAGCTATCCTGGTTTATGTGCTTGGTTTATAACCATCTTTCACGCGTTTGTGAATTTATCTCAAGTGCTAACCCTCTATGACCTGCATCAATGTGAGTGCTGACCCTCTATGACCTGCATCAATGTGAGTGCTGACCCTCTATGACCTGCATCAATGAGAGTGCTAACCCTCTATGACCTGCATCAATGTGAGTGCTGACCCTCTATGACCTGCATCAATGTGAGTGCTGACCCTCTATGACCTGCATCAATGTGAGTGCCGACCCTCTATGACCTGCATCAATGTGAGTGCCGACCCTCTATGACCTGCATCAATGTGAGTGCTGACCCTCTATGACCTGCATCAATGTGAGTGCTGACCCTCTATGACCTGCATCAATGTGAGTGCTGACCCTCTATGACCTGCATCAATGTGAGTGCCGACCCTCTATGACCTGCATCAATGTGAGTGCCGACCCTCTATGACCTGCATCAATGTGAGTGCCGACCCTCTATGACCTGCATCAATGTGAGTGCTGACCCTCTATGACCTGCATCAATGTGAGTGCTGACCCTCTATGAACAACAGTCACATCCATGTCGGATACAACAGTCAATATCTCACATTACAGCCACATACAACAGTCACATCTATACACAATACAACAGTCACATCCATGTCGGATACAACAGTCAATATCTCACATTACAGCCACATACAACAGTGACATCTGTACACAATACAACAGTCACATCCATGTCGGATACAACGGTCAATATCTCACATTACAGCCACATACAACAGTGACATCTGTACACAATACAACAGTCACATCCATGTCGGATACAACAGTCAATATCTCACATTACAGCCACATACAACAGTGACATCTGTACACAATACAACAGTCACATCCATGTCGGATACAACAGTCAATATCTCACATTACAGCCACATACAACAGTGACATCTGTACACAATACAACAGTCACATCCATGTCGGATACAACAGTCAATATCTCACATTACAGCCACATACAACAGTGACATCTGTACACAATACAACAGTCACATCCATGTCGGATACAACAGTCAATATCTCACATTACAGCCACATACAACAGTCACATCTGTACACAATACAACAGTCACATCCATGTCGGATACAACAGTCAATATCTCACATTACAGCCACATACAACAGTCACATCTGTACACAATACAACAGTCACATCCATGTCGGATACAACAGTCAATATCTCACATTACAGCCACATACAACAGCCACATCTGTACACAATACAACAGTCACATCCGTGTCGGATACAACAGTCAATATCTCACATTACAGCCACATACAACAGTCACATCTGTACACAATAGAACAGTCACATCCATGTCGGATACAACAGTCAATATCTCACATTACAGCCACATACAACAGACACATCTGTACACAATACAACAGTCACATCCATGTCGGATACAACAGTCAATATCTCACATTACAGCCACATACAACAGACACATCTGTACACAATACAACAGTCACATCCATGTCGGATACAACAGTCAATATCTCACATTACAGCCACATACAACAGACACATCTGTACACAATACAACAGTCACATCCATGTCGGATACAACAGTCAATATCTCACATTACAGCCACATACAACAGACACATCTGTACACAATACAACAGTCACATCCATGTTGGATACAACAGTCAATATCTCACATTACAGCCACATACAACAGTCACATATGTACACAATACAACAGTCACATCCATGTCGGATACAACAGTCAATATCTCACATTACAGCCACATACAACAGACACATCTGTACACAATACAACAGTCACATCCATGTCGGATACAACAGTCAATATCTCACATTACAGCCACATACAACAGACACATCTGTACACAATACAACAGTCACATCCATGTCGGATACAACAGTCAATATCTCACATTACAGCCACATACAACAGTCACATATGTACACAATACAACAGTCACATCCATGTCGGATACAACAGTCAATATCTCACATTACAGCCACATACAACAGTGACATCTGTACACAATACAACAGTCACATCCATGTCGGATACAACAGTCAATATCTCACATTACAGCCACATACAACAGCCACATCTGTACACAATACAACAGTCACATCCATGTCGGATACAACAGTCAATATCTCACATTACAGCCACGTATAACAGTCACATCTGTACACAATACAACAGTCACATCCATGTCGGATACAACAGTCAATATCTCACATTACAGCTACATACAACAGTCACATCTGTACACAATACAACAGTCACATCCATGTCAGATACAACAGTCACATCCATGTCGGATACAACAGTCAATATCTCACATTACAGCTACATACAACAGTCACATCTGTACACAATACAACAGTCACATCCATGTCAGATACAACAGTCACATCCATGTCGGATACAACAGTCAATATCTCACATTACAGCCACATACAACAGACACATCTGTACACAATACAACAGTCACATCCATGTCGGATACAACAGTCAATATCTCACATTACAGCCACATACAACAGACACATCTGTACACAATACAACAGTCACATCCATGTCGGATACAACAGTCAATATCTCACATTACAGCCACATACAACAGCCACATCTGTACACAATACAACAGTCACATCCATGTCGGATACAACAGTCGATATCTCACATTACAGCCACATACAACAGCCACATCTGTACACAATACAACAGTCACATCCATGTCGGATACAACAGTCGATATCTCACATTACAGCCACATACAACAGCCACATCTGTACACAATACAACAGTCACATCCATGTCGGATACAACAGTCAATATCTCACATTACAGCCACGTATAACAGTCACATCTGTACACAATACAACAGTCACATCCATGTCGGATACAACAGTCAATATCTCACATTACAGCCACATACAACAGTCACATATGTACACAATACAACAGTCACATCCATGTCGGATACAACAGTCAATATCTCACATTACAGCCACATATAACAGTCACATCTGTACACAATACAACAGTCACATCCATGTCGGATACAACAGTCAATATCTCACACTACAGCCACGTACAACAGTCACATCTGTACACAATACAACAGTCACATCCATGTCGGATACAACAGTCAATATCTCACATTACAGCCACATACAACAGCCACATCTGTACACAATACAACAGTCACATCCATGTCGGATACAACAGTCAATATCTCACATTACAGCCACATACAACAGTCACATATGTACACAATACAACAGTCACATCCATGTCGGATACAACAGTCAATATCTCACATTACAGCCACATACAACAGTGACATCTGTACACAATACAACAGTCATATCCATGTCGGATACAACAGTCAATATCTCACATTACAGCCACATACAACAGTCACATCTGTACACAATACAACAGTCACATCCATGTCGGATACAACAGTCAATATCTCACATTACAGCCACGTACAACACCCACATCTGTACACAATACAACAGTCACATCCATGTCGGATACAACAGTCAATATCTCACATTACAGCCACGTACAACAGTCACATCCATGTCGGATACATCAGTCAATATCTCACATTACAGCCACGTACAACAGTCACATCTGTACACAATACAACAGTCACATCCATGTCGGATACAACAGTCAATATCTCACATTACAGCCACATACAACAGTCACATCTGTACACAATACAACAGTCACATCCATGTCGGATACAACAGTCAATATCTCACATTACAGCCACATACAACAGCCACATCTGTACACAATACAGCAGTCAGATCCATGTCGGATACAACAGTCAATATTTCACATTACAGCCACGTACAACAGTCACATATGTACACAATACAACAGTCACATCCATGTCGGATACAACAGTCAATATCTCACATTACAGCCACATACAACAGTCACATCTGTACACAATACAACAGTCACATCCATGTCGGATACAACAGTCAATATCTCACATTACAGCCACGTAGAACAGTCACATCTGTACACAATACAACAGTCACATCCATGTCGGATACAA